AAAAAAAAAAAAAAAAAAAAAAAAAAGAGACAAAGATGGACATTACACAATAACAAAGGGATCAATCAATCCAACAAGAGGATATAACACTTGTAAACATCTACGCACTGAATGTAGGAACATTTAAGTACATAAAACAAATATTAACAGACATAAAGGGAGAGATTGACATTATTACAATAATAGCAGGGGGACTTTAAAACCTGCTTACATCAATGCACAGATCACACAGACAGAAAATAAACAAAGAAACAATGGCCTTAAATGATACATTAGATTAAATGGACTTAACAGATATTTACAGACCATTTCATCCCAAATCAGCAGAATACACATTCTTTTAAAGTGTGCAGGTAACATTTTTCAGGATAGACCACATATTAGGCCATAAAACAAGTCTCGGTAAACTTAAGATTGAAGTCAAATCAAGCATATTCTCTACTCACAACAGTATGAAACTAGAAATCAATTATAAGAAGAAAACTAGAAAAAAACCACTAACACGTGGGGAGGCTAAACAACATGCAATTATACAATCAATAGGTTAATGAAGAAATCAAGGAGGAAATAAAAAATATACTGAAATGAATGAAAATGAAAAAAACGATAATCTGAAATCTTTGGGACACAGCAGTTCTAAGAGGGAATTGCATTGTGAAACAAGAAACAAAAAAAATCTCAAATAAACTATTTAAATTATCTAAAGGAACTAGGAAACAAAAATAACAAAGCCCAAAGTGAGCAGAGGGATAGACATAATAATCCACACAGAAATAAATGAAATGGAGATTAAGAAAGTAATAGAAAAGATCAATGAAACTAAGAGTTGGTTCTTTGAAAAGATAAACAAAATAGATAAACCTTTAGTCAGATTCATCAAGAAAAAAAAAAGAGGACTCAAATAAATAAAATCAGAAAGCAAAGAGAAGCGAACCCACACCACAGTAATACAAAGGGTTGTAAGAAAACAGTATGAGCAATTATACACAAACAAATTTGACAACCTAAAAGAAAATGGATAAATTCCTAGAAATAACATATAATCTTCCAAGAGTGAACTTCATTTCTAGAAATCAGTCTGTTCATATTTTGTTTCTTCTGGGTCAATCAGTAATCAAAAAACTCCCAACAAATAAAATTCCAAGACTAGATGGCTTCACAGATGAATTCTACCAAGCATCCAAAGAATTAATACCTATCCTTCTCATACTATTCCAAAAAATTGAAAGGGAAACCTCCCAAACTCATTCTGTGAGGCTACTAGCATTACCCTAATACCGCCCAGACCCCTGCCTGGACTCACAGAGCCCTTACCTCGCCAGCACTATGGAGCTGCTGGGCTATGCACCTGAGGTCCTCCTCGCTGGCCAAGGGGTTCAGCTGGTCCTGCACGTCATACACAAACTGCTGCAACGACATCAGCTGGTTGGGCCCATTGAGCTTCCTCCAGGAAGGCAGCGTGGAGATGATTTTCTCACACAGGTGAGTCATCAGAGGGCAGACCTAGAACATGTGGAACAGGACAGGTCAATTTACAGCTGTGGGGACTCAGAAGGAGCCTGGATGGGTATTCATCAGGGCTGTTGTTGACATATTATTTCAATTTAGAACTAATTCTCGGTAATTGGCTTGGAGTAGTTTTTTAATCTTTTAACTTGGTTAAGTAAATCAGCCTATGTTACAGACTCATATACTCAACACGCCTTCCAAATTAAAAACCACAGCAGCCACCCGCTACACTGCATCATTCATTAGGCAGTTCCCTCTCGGGTCATAGTTTTTATGTCAACTTAATTCCATGCTATTAAAAAACCCAAAATTTCCAGGGGATAAAGGCAGTTTATTTGATAAGTTCCAACTGCCTGACCTCAGGATTTGGGGGCGTGTGTATGTGCATGTGTGAAGTGGACATCATGCCACACCCCAGCTCAAGGACTCCCTAATCCATGGGCGGGGAGGCGCTGGGGACCCGTCCCAGACCACTGTTCCAGATCATTACCCACTGGCTTCTGTGACCAGGCTCTTCCAGGGCCCCGCCAGACTACTCCCCACCCGCTGGCTGTACCGTAGTGGGGACCCATCAGAAAGCAAGGGCCAGGCTTCATAAGAGGAGAGGGCTCCTGAAAATTCCAAAAAGCACGTCTGGAAGTGGAGCCTGGTGTTGGAAGAGCAGCATTGGTCAGCCTGGCGGGGGAGGGAAAGGCCCATCCTGCTTGTTTATTCTCAGGCTTGGGCAGCAGGAACATTACAGGGGGCGTTTTAACGTTTTGCCATTGAACTGTTTTGCCCTTTTCACACCAATTTCAGGGAGCTTTTTGAATATTATGGATAATAATCTTTTATGTGTCAAATCCATTGTGAATATTTTCCCTAATCTGTCTCACCTTTTAACTTTGTTTGTAGAATTTATTTGCCAGAAAAAAAAATGTTAACTTTTATGTTGTCAAACGGGTATAATTCCTTTGAAAACTTCTGGGGTTTTCTATCTTCATTTGAGAGGTTTCCCAAAACAGTCCCAAATTATACTAAATTACATTCTCTTACATTTCCATTTAAAGGTATTGTTTTACATTTAAAAGGTTTACTCTGCCTAGAATTTATTTTTGGGCTACATAGTAATTAGGAGTTCAGTCTTCTTTCTGGCATATAGCCATTGTGCTAGATCCCTTTTTAAATAAGTATTTCCCCATTAAATTGAAATAACATCTTTGTTTTCTATTAAATTGCTGTAGATATGATTTGCTTCTACACTCACTAATCTATTCCACATATTTATTGGCTTATCAATTACAAGCCTCTATAGTGTTTTATTTTTTCTATTGAAATTTTAAGATGAAAAAACCCAGCCTTCTCAATCCCATCCAGATGCTAACTGGAACTATACTAAGTTTATATAATTTGGGAAAATGAAGCATTGAATAAGATCTTAAGATCATCCAAGAACACAGTTTCATTCCATTTGTTCATCTATTATTCTATGCCCATCCATAAACGTTATTGGTGACTTTTTTCTACTTCTCTGTATTTTCTAAATATTTCACAATAAATCACTTTTAAATTGCTTTTGTAACTTGTAAAAAGCAATTTTACCTTTATTTAAAAAAATTTTTTTAAAGATTTTATTGGGGAATTGGGGAAGGGGAACAGCCAAGTTGTTCTTCGATCTTAGTTGTGGAGGATGCAGCTAGCACAGCTCCAAGTCCAGTTGCCATCCGGCCGCCCGGTGGCAGCTCAGGGCAGCTCAGCTCAAGGTGCCGTGTTCAATCTTAGTTGCGGTTGGGTGTAGCCCACCATCCCATGCAGGAGTTGAACCAGCAACTTTGTTGTTAAGAGCGCATGCTCTATCCACCGAGCCATCTGGGTGACAGCTCAGCTCAAGGTGCTGAGCTCAGTCTTAGTTGCAGGTGGGCATAGCCCACCATTGAACAGACAACCTTGTTGTTAGGAGCACGTGCTCTCACCAGCTGAGCCATCTTGCCACCTGTTGGCAGCTCAGCTTGGGCGCAGCTCACTGACCCATGTGTGAATCTAACTGGCAAACCCGTTGCTCAGAGCTCGAACTCTTAACCAACTGAGCCACTCAGCTGGCCCACAATTTTACTTTTAAAGAAACCACTAAAACTGTTGAAATTTCCGACACCCTAACATGGTCCACTTTGCCGGTAACCACCCCTTCCTCCCGCGGCCACCTCCTTGCTTCTCCCCTCTTCCTTCTTTACCCCAGAGCAATAGGATAAAAACATGTCCATGCAGCCACCTCGTACTGGGTCCCTTGAAAACCGAACCAAACGAGGAAGGCTGCACAAAGAGGCCCAACTTGCGCGGTCACTGGATGGGCTGGGCAAAGGTTGGGTTCCCGCCCTCCCCAGGTATACTCACCGAAACGATCTGGCTCCGTATTTCTTGCAGGTGGTTTCGAAGTACCTTCATGTCCTTAGACCCAGAAGCCCCAGCATCCAGAACAAATAGCTTATTTGAAATGTGAAGATCGTTCCCAAACCTAAGGGAAGAGTGGTAGCCTCAGCGGAGTGATGCAGTCTTACCAGGTATTTCCACTGCAGGTCCAGATTCCCGCTGGTCCAAAAGGCTGGTTGGAGGCCAGGAAGTTCTGGTGACTTTGCAAGGCCCCCCTCCCTGCTATTTGCTGGGCTCTGTAAGGTTACACTGGGGCAGAGGCCTGGAGATACCCATGTATTTCCAGTCATGCGGACGGGAGCCTCGGGTCCCACAAAATGGCAAGAACACAGAATGGAAAGATACCAGCTGCCCTGATGCAGGCAAGGTGAGGCCTAAGGTGCTCACCTTATACGTTAAGAGAAGAGATGCTGTTGTAGTTGATGGAGTAAGAATAGAAGGATGAGTATGAAAGTTACAGCTTAGATCTAAAAATATCAGCAGAGGCCCTTTTTTCATACCAGGAAGATAACAGATCAATGTCTTCAGTTGATAAACAGAGAACTAAAGTTACTACATAGAGCTGTAGGTTCAAACTTTCTGTTGACAGACACAATGTAGAAATATGTCTTTTTTACATGGTGATCCTGTGTGTATCCGTATTTAAAAAGGAAAAAAATGTTTTATAAAAGTACTTGACATGAAATGCATCCTGATATTCTCCACCCCACTTTAAAGAGTTGGTCTGGACCCCCTAAATGAATTTCATGACCCACTAGTGGGTTGCAACTGGTATTTTGAGAAATACTGATTAGTGGTATCACGACACTCATCAAAAAACCCTGAAAGCTTAAACAACTAAAAGAACTCAGAATCTAATGCATAACATGGTGACAGTAGTTGATAACAATGCATTTTATACTTGAAATTTGCTAAGAAAGTAGAAAAGAAATGTCCTCATCCAAAAAAAAAGAAAAAAAAAGAAAAAAGGTAAATATGTGAACTTATAGATGTGTTAATGAACTAGATGGTGGGAATCCTTTTACAATGTAAATATATATCAAATCACCATGACATACACTTTATCTTACAATTTTATCTGTCAATAGTACCTCAATTAAACTGAAAAAAAAAACCAAACAAACCATAACGCATTCACTGTTTTGATAAAAATGAAAAATACAACAAAAATAGGCAACTAAGGAAAAGAGGCCTTTAGTTTCTTTAATTCCTCTCTCTGGTTCACAGGACATTGGTTGTATTACCCCTGAAGACCCAATGGCTGCCCCTTACCTGTTCCTGATCTCTTTCAGCAACGTCGTGTCTTTGTCATATCCAAACTCGCCTCCAGCTGGACGAGGAACGTTCATGATGTCAGCATGGGTGGCCACCAGGACAACTCGGAGTGGGTTTTTCAGCTTGCCGCCAAAGGCTAGGCCAGAGAAAGAACTGTTTTAGAGGTAGGTTCTCCATTGTGACTGCCTCTCCTATCCAGGTAAGGTGGAGTGCGCTGGTCCCAGACCCAGGCCATCTCTCCAGGTGGATGTGTAACTGCCTGAAGAGTTGAGGGCCCCGTGCCTTTGTGCCTTGTAAGCTCTGGGCCCCAGGCCCAGCCAATAATACATGAGCCTATTTCCTGGGCCTTAAGGAAAGTTGTTCAGAAATGGACCAGAACCAACCACAGAACACAGGGCAGTGTCTCAGATCTATCTCCAAATAGGCCCTGCTTGCATGGTGAGGGGAGATCTAACCTCTGACCACAGGGTTGCCCTTTACAAGACAGCCCTATGAATGCAGCAACACCACCATAGGCATGACTCAAAAGAGAAACTCCTGCGATTCACACAGATAGAGTCTCTCAATTCTGGGAGCTTTTGAGACGAACACATGAAAAAAATAAAAGAGAGAGAAACAAAGAGATAAAGTGGTGGTACCCTGAGGGGAATTAAGCCCAGGTTATTTGATTGTTATACACTTTTCAAAGAAAAAATTGACTGCTGAGTTTGTATTTCACCAGAGAAGGCTGCTTGCTTTTGTTGTACGTAAAGAACAAAAGACGTTTATTCCATGCTATCTTCTCCTCTAGGATAAAGTTAAGGTAATGCATTCAGTCAAGATGGTCCCTTTTCTTCCATTCTTGATGCAAGTGCAGAATGAAGAGCTTATTCTGCTTGTGAATTATGTTCTCATGAGTTAAAGGTGCAGTAGCTATCAAAGGAGGTATTGCATGCAACAAAAATGACCACGGCTCTAAAATACAGAAAGAAAGTGAGAAATGGCTCTCAAGGAATAGCTCAGAATTGGGTCTTTGTGGCAGAAATATGTGATCATGAAATAACTCCCCGAAGAACAAAATGAACAGCTGACCCTCAGGGAACTTCCAGAATGGAAATTTTCTCGTAGGAAGGAGGAATGAAGGTGACAGTTGTCAGTCACAAGCTATAGGATCCAAGCATGGCCAGGGGGACAAGTTCAGTGGGAAGGACACTCACTCACTCAGGGGTGTCTTTGCTTACCTATGGGTTCTTCAATTGGCACAAGAGACTTCAGGAAGCTGAGCCAGAAAATCACTTGATTCAACTGGATCTCATAGGGTTCTTCTAGACTAAAAACGATGATATGGATTGATGTGGGGTCATTTGCAGCAAAATAGTCATAAGAGCAGAAGTATACAGGATTTCCAGAGAACTCCCACACACTGAAATCGCCAACTCCTACAGAGAAAAGTAAAGATGACTATCGTGAACCACCATCACCAAATTTCAATCACTACTTTTCATAGCACTTTAGGGGTTACCAGTAGAGATAGTGTCATCTGTTTATCTATGCATCTACTTAAGTATGAATCTACATATGTAATAACAGACCTATGTCTATGATGTATGCCTATGTCTGTTTCTATATCCATGTCTTTCACCTATATATTTATAAAGCTAATTATATCTATATCTGCTTATCCATTTTCTTAAATATATATTTTCTTGTAATCTTCATGAGTATATCTGTACTTATATCTCTACCATATTTACTTATGTACCCAGGAGTGGTGCACATGCATTTGTGTGCGTGCGCGCACACACACACACACACACACACACAGTGTGGGTGTATGTGCATGCCTATAAGCATACATGGAAATGTGTGTATGCACTTATACTTTGTTTGCCCCCCAAATATTAGTATATAAAAAATAAGCACCACTTGGAGAAAGAGCAAACATCCATCATGTCCCTTACACTGAAGTATGAGTTATGCTATAGTTCATCCCAATGGATCACTGCACTCAGAAAGTTAGAGAACATGTGATGAGATTTGTATCCTTAAATCAGTATGCATATAAATTCTTTTTGGAACATGACAGTGTATATAAATTATTGAACATAAAAGTTATTATGAAATGTAATCTTTATCTTGGTTAATGACTAAATTCATCTTCCACAGGTGAGGGAGCGACATGTTCAGGTTAGCCAGAAGCAAGCCGGCTGCCTGCACAGGTGTAAGATGTAATAGTTGATTGACAGGTCATGCAGGGGTGGGAGGTTGTGTATGGTGGTGGAACAGTTACTCTCCCACGCCTAAGCTGTGGGTGTATCCAGACACACGAATGCCCCCACCTCTACACTGCCACATCCCACCAGGGCAGTGACCACCACCCACTGGCCTTTGGGGCAGCCTGGCAGGACCAGTGATGTTATAAGATTTCAGGCTTCCTTTCCCTAATTGTTCCCCTTGGTGTTTATTCTGTGCCAGGAATTCTGTAGTCATGAATCATTTTGGAAGAGCCACAGGGCTTTTTTAGAGCCTCCTCTTAAGAGCACAGGCACTCCTGGGGGGCACAGCCCTCTAAGTCTGGCAGCTAAGGTCTTAGCTTGAAAAGTTCTAGAACAGAGAAATAGGCCCTTTGAGCACTGAGAACAGTGGTAGCCAGACTTGGAATGGAGGGAGGCCTGTGGAGGGGCAGGGGGTGAGGGCAGGGATGGTGGGTGCCGAGGACATGCTTCTCCTATGCTGCAGGCCAGCTTTGCTTGAAGAATACTCAACTGTTAAGAGAGCAAAATGTGGGGCCGGCAAAGTGGCTCAGTTGGTTAAGAGCTCACTCAAGAGTGCGAGCTCTGAGCAACTGCAGTTTGATGCCCGGCCCAAGCTGAGCTGCTGCTGAGCTGCCAACAGGTGGCAGGATGGCTCAGCTTAAAAAAAAAAAAA